AGCCTGCAGGGCCGATAGTGGAGGATTCACATGCAGACGAATGTAAAAACGGGTAAACACGTGTACGGAAATATGCAAAGAGGCTGCTCGCCGCGCGCACCTGCACTCGCTTGTTTCTTCGGCGCAGGCTTTTCAGGCCGAACAAGACCAGGTAACCAGATAAATAGGTTTTTATGGAAATGCTTGATGAAGAATGCTGAAGGGAAGTGGCTGATGGGCAAATAGTTTTCAGTAAATACAGCCTCCTTCCAGGTTAGGGTTAGGACTCTGTGAAGCTTCTGCATGATCTACATGCAGCTTGTACACATTTGTTCAGTTATGAGCTAAAATGCACCTTTTCCTTCCTGGAGGGAAAGTTGCTGCTTCTTCGATGCCAGTTATGGACTCATTATTGTCTTGTCTAATTATTTGACCTTAACCGTGCAGAACTCGGATATGTAAATTATGAATGTGTATAAAGCTCAAGAGGTTTAGCTTGCTCTCACTTGATCAAGTAGTTTTTGACCAACACCATAAAAACCAGGCATTCATGTGGCTGCCTGTGCTTCTGTTAGCAAAAAATCTTATAAACCGCTGGACAAATTTAAATGAAATCTCTGAAAGTCGTCAGTTGTTCATCTACAACTCAGTCAGACCAATTCAAGATGGCCGCCACAGCTAATCAACCTTAGCTAACGCAGAAATGGTCATTACGTCCATTTTAAAGATACAGATTTCAGATGTGGTAGTAGCTGAGAGTCATTCACAACACATCCCCTGAGTGATGCAGATTGAGCAAGTTGTTTATTTAAAACTTTGGCGTTAACCTTTGGAGTCAGCTCCGTCTGTTAGCAAAATATCTTTCGATGAAACAAAGTAATCAGTGGGTGTGCACCCGGTTACATTTTATGCAGCTGATTCAATTCAAGATGGCTGCCACAGCTAATCCACCTCAGTAAACACAACAGCAGCCAGTTTGATGAGGTGGTAGCTGAGGATGATCCCCAACGCATATTCTGAGCACCAACAAACTCCGTCAGATCTTTAACATTCTGCTGATTTCTTCTTTAGCTCAGATCTTTGTTTGAACCTTCTGTCCTTCCAAGCGATGGCTGAAAGAATAGTTAAATATAAAGTAGATGTATAGACCAGTCGCGATAAACAATAAATCAATTAATCGCATGATAAATGAAAATTATCGACCTCCTTTTCATTTATCGGCTTCGTTTCTTCATGTCTCTCTTTCTTTCTACTGAAGACACTGGATGACAAAAGGCTCGACTCCGGTGCTCTTCACCGACTCCTCCCTTTCTCTTTAAAATCTGTTTTAACCGTCTAAAATTGTTTTGTTTTTTTTTGATCGTTAAAAGCAGCAAAGCTAAGAAGCTAAGCTACGAGCTAAGCTATGAGCTAAGTTAACAGGCTGACCTCAGAAAAAACTTCCGTCTCGTTGAAGCTCCAAAATTCATGGTTGAAATCCATGCCTTTGTTTAAAAAGTTTTTTTTTTCTGTAAAAAGAAGCTGAGAACTTGTTTACTGATTAAAAAAACAAAAGCTTTGTGTGAAAAATGCTATGCTAAAGAGCTCAAATCACACCAAGCGTCCGCCATTTTGAGAACCGAAGAAAGGAAGGAGAGACAGCCCGTGTCACGTCAAGAAGCCTCCCTCCCATTTTTCTTAGAGACGCTGCTCGCTCCCTCACTATCCATCCCTGGGTTCAAACAGTCTTATACTTCCATCCGGTGGTCAAAAAAGGTACTACACAAATCAAACATTTCTTTTTAAATTTGACAATTACTAATTATTGTCAAATTTCAAACATTATCGTTTATCGCAATAATTTCTGAGACATTCGCCCAGCAAAATTTATCGTGACAGGCCTATTTTTTAATTTATTAACCTCTATTTAAACGGGCAAATCCCATTAAGATCACAGATCTCTTTTGCAAGAGAGGCCTGGGCCTGAAGTCAGACTATAACATGCATGTTTTTAGTCTGTGGAAGGAAACTGGCGCACCCGGAGAAAACCCATGTAAGCACGAGAAGAACATGCAAACTCCTCACAGAAAGACCCCAGGTCCAACCGGTGATTGAACCCAGGACCTTCTTGCTGTGAGGCAACAGTGCTAACCACTGAGCCACCGTGCTGCCTATAAATGTTTACCATATTTTTCAGACTACAAGGAGCACTTAAAATCCTTTAATTTCCTCAAAAGTCGACAGTGAGCCTTATAATCCGGTATGTTTTAATTCTGTTTGTGCTTACTGACCTCGAACTGATTTTATGTGTTTTTTTGTGAAGAGTTGAATAAAGTTTGACTTATCTGTTTTGTTGCGCTTACTGCGCCTTATAGTCTGAAAAATACGGTATCTGATTATTGATCCAGTGGTGGCGATGTGTCGGGCACCAGATCGGCGCTGCCCTCATCAGCATCAGTTGGCCCCTCCCTCCCTCCCGTCCTGCGTGTTTATTGTCGTCGTGAGGATCAGATTTGTCCACAGGTCTATTTTTATCCAACTCTGTTTAGGTTTCTCTGCCTCTCTTGCCTCAGACTTTGTTTTGGTTTGCCTTCAGACCTTTATCCCCCCCCCCACCCCCACCCCCCACACTATTTGTCTTGAAGTGTGGAGTCGGCCACTCGTGGAGGGATGGCAGCACCTGTGCGTGTACGTTCGTGGAGCACCTCGGCGTGCGTGAACAGTGTGGATGTGCGGCGTGTTGATTAATGCGTTCTTTGCTGCACCGACTCTTCTGCAGCTCCGAGTCCCGGCCCGCTTCACAGACTCTGAATGACACGCACACACCTGCTGCACACACAGGTTAATTAGGGATGAAGATCAGATAATGCCTCCAACTCAAACACAGGAAAATACCTGTCGTTTCTGTTCCTGTGCGCCGTGCGTGTCCCGTCCTGCAGCTTGAAAAGGTTTCTTTGTGTTCGACGCACATTCGGCTGTTCGGTTCCGCTCGAACAACCCAGCCGCATTCCTGCTTCCTGAGCCGAGATTCAAAACGACTTGTGAAACGTTAGCGCGGGTCCAAATTATAGAGCCAACGGTCAAAGATGGGGCGAGGAAGTCGTCCGTGTGCCAGAAATGTAAAGTTTAAACACGAATTAAGATTTTTCTCTTGTTGCAGCTTGACTGTTTCATCCTAAAATAACTGGAGCTGTCCGACGTGTCTCTTCCTGCCTCACCGTGGAGTTTTATTTTCAGGGGACTCTTTGAGCTCAGTGATGTTGTGCAGAGAGCAGATCCAGGATTATCGTCCTAACAGATGAGTTGTCCACCGTGAGCCGTCTGCTGCTGAACGTCTGAACCGCAGCACGTTCTCCCAGAGGGCAGAGAAAAGTTAACTGCAGGTGAATTCCCTCCTCGTCTTCGTCTCCCTGCTCCTAATCCTCCTGTTGGCTGTTCGTCAGGACAGCAGGCTCAGGTGGGAGACAGGAATGTGGACGACGATGATGATGGAGGAAGCTCTAGCGTCAATTTTTGTAAAACATTTGCCTTTTTTAATGTTTTAAATTCTTCTTTGTTTCTTTCCATTTTTCCTCAGCCGGTATATTAAATTCTTCTTCTAGCTTCTTATCTGCGTCGTTGTTATCACCAAAAAATGTTCCAGTAAAGTTTTGAACATCTCAGACGGTGATTTCACATCAGACGTATCTGCTGTTTTAGCTTCTCAGCCGCCTGAGACCAGAGGAATCCTAAAGTAAAAAAAATAAATAAATCAAGAAATTAAATAAAAACAACTTGCCACTCCAGTTTTGAGTCGATCCCCGGTAGGGAAGTGAAACATCTTTCACTTAGTTTTTAAGCTTTTAGAACATTAAATGAGACTTTAAATGAATTATCTAATAAAATGTATACATCATTTATTGGTTGTAAACCCTTTAAAATGCAGCAATAAACTTTTATGATGATGTAAATCTGATATTTAACTTTTTGAATTTCTGCTCTTTATTAAACGAGTGGTTTTTATTTCTTAAATGTTTTTGACAAACGTTTGATTTTAAAATAATAGCTAGCTGCAAGCACCGTGAACGGTAAGATTCAAAATTCTTATACGTTGCACCTGTTTATTAAATCGTAATACAGTATAGTCTCTCGCTACTTCGCGTTTCGTTTATCGCGGACTCGCTCTATCGAGGTTTTTCAAAATAAGATGGCACATGACACAAACTGGCTGATTGATGGACGAGTCGCACCATCGAAATGGAATTTATATTTAAAATAAATTATTTTAAATTATTTAGCACCTTTGTGCAGCCCACACTGCAGGATAAACTTTCTGCTGCAGCTGATCAGCTGGTCACTGTGCAGAGCGGAGAAGTGGGCGTGGCCAAGAGCGCTTGCAGGTGGTAAAGAGCAGCGGAGGCAGGGATCTGAGATCATGACATTCTGTGCTCTTTTAGAGTGTTGAGTTTAAAAACATGGTTTAGAATATTGCAAAAGTGTGGGAAGTGTTTAAAACATCTTAAAATATATATACATGCATAAATATTAAAATAAACTACTACTTACTGCTTGTACTACTATTCCTACTTCGTGGATTTTCACTTATCGCGGGTCTTCAGGTACGGATCCCCTGCGATAAACGAGGGACTACTGCAATGTGCATTAAATGTATTATGGACTGTTTTTTTTCAGCCTGTTATAAAGGTGTTACAAGCGGCGGTGCTATATTCTTTTTATTTAGGAAACGGAAACTTAAATCAACTCTTACAAGAAATTGGTCATACTACAGCCCAAATGTTGACCTGTGAGTAATAGAACAGAGAGCGATCCATCATCGCACATCAGACTAAACCCTGAGCCAACAAACGGCTCGCTCTGCAGGGTAAAACGGGTTTTAAGGAGATACTGAGTCAGTGAAGCGTCCACACGATCCGGTGTAGACTGACGTCCACCACGACCATCAGGAGTCTGATGGGACTCCCATCCATAGAGGCAATTTGTTTTTCTTTGACTCTCATCGTTTCTTTGTGGGATTAAACATTACGCTCTGTTTTTATTTCCAGGCTCATCTAGAGTTGGACAAATACCTCCCCCAGGTCAGCAGCCACCTCTTGGCCCCCTCCAGCGACGCTGACAAGAAGTGCAGGCGAGAGAGCGCGTCGGTGGTGGACGAGTATTTCTCCGAGGACAAACCCATGGCTCCATACACCTTCAACATCAACCTCATCCTCCCCAACACAACTCACCTCCGCACCGGCCTCTACAGGCCCAACACCTCCCACACCCTCACGCCACAGCAGATCAAGACAGAACCCGGACTGGAGGTGCCCTGCTCCGTTCCCGTCACCACCCAGGCGCTGCCGGACTTCACCTCGGTCTTCAGCGTGCCGCCTGTGGCCAACAGCGTTTTTATAAAACCAGAAATGAGCCCCGAAGGTCGAAGCGTCACCGCTGGAGCCCAGCAGCAGCCAAGTTTGGACACGGAGCTCCACATTGGACCCCCGCCTCCTCAACCGCAGGTCTACCACATGCCCAGCACCTGCTCCGACCTCTCCATGACTCTGTCGCACACCAGCCCGTCAGCGCCAGGCTCCACCACCGGCAGAACCATGCTGAACCTCAGCAGCGGCACCATGCCGACGACCAACGGCAGCTACATGATGGCGGAGCACCAGCTGCAGCCGCAGCACCACGACGGCTACTACCAGGCCCCCCTGAGCCACGCAGTGCAACACACGGGGCCTCACAGCCTGCCGCCGTCGCCGCCAAACTCCCAGCCTGGGAGCCCGGACGGCCAAGCGAAGCTGCTCAACCTCGCGCCGCAGCCTCCACCTCCGTACCAGCAGCGTCTGGAAGGGATGAAGGTGACGGGGTTGTCTCCTCACGCCCTCCTGATGACACACGGCCAGGGGGTCCTGACTGGGCCCAAGTATAACCGGAGGAACAACCCAGAGCTGGAGAAGAGGAGGATCCACTTCTGTAACTACCCAGGTGAGCAGTCGAGATCAATATTAGGGGTGTTACGGTACATGTGTGTATTTTTATTTGTTTCTTTGCTAACGGCCACAACAAAATAAGAATAAAGCAAAATAATATAAGTTATTACTGAACAGTCCTCAGGCGGGTCTGTAAGTTCACCTCCGGTTCCTGGGAAACTAAATATCCAGGAAATGTTTCATTTTCCAGCTGCAGCGTTTGTGTGTCTGACGGGAATAAAAATAAAAAAAACGTCTCATTTACTGACGAGGAGGAAAAGAAAAATCATAAGTGGTCATTTTGTTTATAATGCGTTTGGAGATTTTCAGCTCTTCCTGCCTCCTGATTGGTCCCACGCTGAGCAGAAACACGACTCGGTCTGAAAGCCGTGGGCTCGGAGCTCTTCTGGACCGATTTACTAACAAGAAAGAAGTTTTCAGTTCTGAAGTTTATTTAACTTTTTGTTTGACACATGATCTCTGTGATACGCTTTATTTTAAACTGGATGAACAACTTTGTTTTTGTTTATCTTGTGTTGCAACTTTAGTTGCACCCTTTTCACTAGTGAGAGGTGTTTTTATGGCTCTGCTTCTGGGAGAGGTCCTTTAAAAATAAATCCATAAATTAACTATAAAAACCATTGACTATCATGTTTGCAGATGACATTGAGATCTGTGGTGAGAACAGGTAACAGGTGGAAGAGAACTTGGAGAGGTGGAGGTATGCACTTGAAAAAAGAGGAATGAAAGTCGGCTGTAGTAAGACAGAGTACATGTGTGTGAACGAGGGAGAGGAGGTGGAACAGTGAGGCTACAAGGAGCAGAGGTCACAAAGGTGCAGGACTTCAAGGACTTGGGGTCCACTGTCCAGGAACATGGGGAATGTGGTGAAGAAGTGAAGAAGAGAGTCCAGGCAGGATGGAGTGGATGGAGAAAAGTTTCAGGAGTGATTTGTGACAAAAAGTTTACAAGACAATAGTGAGACCAGCTATGTTGTATGGTCTGGAGACCGAGACATGGACAAAAAGACAGGAGACAGAACTGGACGTGGCAGAAATGAAGATGTTGAGGTTCTCCTTAGGAGTGACAAGGATGATAAAATTAGGAATGAGATCATCTAAGGTACAGCACAGGTTGAACAACTGGGAGATAAAGTTAGAGAGGACACACTGAGATGGTTTGGACATGTCCAGAGGAGGGACAGTGGTTTGGACATGTCCAG